AATCACTTTCCACCTTTGTTTTTGAACCTAGAGCTCCCCAGTGCAGTTTGACTGGCACAGCAAGCCCCATGCATCCTTCTATCTCTGCCTATCCAGCACAGTGATTATATACACATACCACTGTGACCTAGCTTTTACATGGGTGCTGGGTATTAAGCTTAGGTCCTCAATGTTTGTGTGCAGGTGCTATACAAATTGAGCCATCTCCCATTCACTTTTGCCAACATCTTAAGTCAGATTTTTGTCATGGGTTTTATTAACAGACTCCACTAGTGCTTCAGTCATAGATTTGTAGAAAACTAAATTACATTTGAGTCTTACAGGGCAAAGTCTGGTGCCTTTCATTCCCTGACTTTCTTAGAAGCAAATGGCAGATGGTAAATAGGGCGTGGCCCCTTCTGCACCGTCAGAAGACAGGCAGCTGCAGCCGCAGGGCAGAGCCCCAGGTTTCCACCTTCTGCTGTGTGGATTCCAAGTGGATGGTGGCTCTCTGTGGGTAAGCAGGGATGCTGGACAAATGCTGCAGATAGGCACTCAGCACAGGGCCAGAGGAAATCTCTAATCTGACTGACACAGGATGGACGGGTGGGAAGACTCTCCATCAGTGTCAGGAGTGATTTGAAGCACCTGGCAGGTCAGGTGAACTAAAATAAATTATTTACTGATCTTAGACTGTAGCTGCTCATGTGGATACTTAAGAAGAGAGTGCTGTCTGATGCCCTGAATGTCGGGAAAGAATTCCTGGATTGTTGTATGCAAGTGTGTTGAGAGAGTTGAGGGGTTGTCATGTATTCTGTAAGGTGGGAGACTCTAATGCTAGACACTTGGCCTACCTGGGAACAAACTTACTCACTGCTGATGCATTACTCAAGGGCAGATTATCTGACTGTCACAAAATTCCTTAAGAGTAACCAGTGAAGCTTCTGCTTTTGATGCCGAAGTTTGAGCTTAGCATCTAAGAGAAGCAAACATTTTGACAGTTGTTTAGGCATGCCCCAGGGCTGAGTCTGTCCACCAGAGGGCACCATATGGCGCCACTGCAAGTATCCTGGAGCTGGGATCTCCCCAGCCTAAATTCAGAGAACTCCATTCTGGAGAGGGACATGGGCAACACCAGCTTTATCCCTTTTCGATCTCACAGGTCTTTACTGTGGCTACAAGATTAGGAGAGGCATCTCCATATCTGAGCAACTCAGTTTGGAGCAACAAGGAGAGGTGGCAAAAGGCAACGTAGATAAGGACAAACATCAGAGCTAGGCTAAGCTGTTTAGAATCAGCTTCTGTGGGCCAGATACTCCCACACAACCCTAGAAGGAAAGTTTTATAACACTGGCTTTATACACGGTAACAACTAAGGTGGAAGAGGGAAGGTGCCACTGCAGTACAGAGGGAGGATACAACTGACTACAGAACCCTGCTCCTCCACAGCAGACTCTTGTGGCCTTTCTGTCTTGGCATGAATCTCCAGGTCAGAATCAGGTGAATTTGTCCTTTTGCCTTTGGAGAAGAATGGGAAGCAGGCCTGGGGTCTGTGGTCATTCCAGGCACTGCTTCTCACACTGTAGACAGAGCAGGTGGGCCTCTGGAATATCCTGCTTGACTCCTGTCATGATGGCAGTTAAGCAAAGATAGGGTTTCCTAAAAAGAAGCCATCAGAAAATGCAGACCCAGAGGCTGAGGAGGAAGCTCATTTGCTGTCTTCTGTACAAGCATAAATTTGACTCTCTGGAACCCATGTGAAAACTCTAAGTGTGGCAGTGCACAGCTGTATTCCTAGTGTTAGGGAGGTGGAAACAAAAGAATTTCTGGATTGCTGGAGACCATAGCCAAGTTGGCAAGCTCCAGATTCAATGAGAGATCCTGTCTCAAAACAAACAAACAAACAAACAAAACAAAAACAGGGTAGAGGAACAGCTGAGAATGGGTTTGTCAGGAGTGACCACCACAGCCAGCACATCAAATTCAGTAACAGCACCCAGATGCGTATCCTGGGTACCTGGCAGGTGTAGGAGGTCCTTTTGTATTTATGTTGCTTTCATTGGTTGAATAAAGAAACTGCCTTGGCCTTTTGATAGGGCAGCAGCTTAGGTAGGCGGGGAGACAGAACTGAATGCTGGGAAGAAGAACAGAGTCAGGTAGACACCATGTTTCTCCTGCCCTAGACGGACGCTGGTTAGACTCAGGTCGGTAAGCCACAGTCAAGTGGCAATACACATGAAAATGGGTTAAATCAAGAAGTGAGAGTTAAATCAAGATGTAAGAGGCTAGAGATAATGGGCCAGGCAGTAATTTAATTAATACAATTTCTGTGTGGTTATTTTGGGGGTTAAGCTAGCCGGGCAGCAGGATGAGGCCTGGTCCTTCTCCTACTACACCTGGCAGTTCAATGCTATCCAGACCCAGTGGAGATGTCTGTCTGTCCTTCCAAAGGCATTGGTGGTGACCTCTTACAGTCCCCAGCCTTCCTACAGTTCCCATGCTGCTCGACAGGTGTGGTCGCAGCACTCATTGTTGAGAACTTTATCATGATACAAATGTGGGAGACTGACCTCCTCTCGAGTGTTCCACATGGGCTTGCTGCCTCAATCTCAGGGCCTTCAGATGTCAGCCTGTGTGGAGGTTAGCAGAGGATGCTGATCCCCTGGAATTGAATTTAAGATGGCTACAAGTCACATGGTGTGGTCCCCTAGAAAAGCATGAATGATCTTAACCACTGAGCCATCTCTCTAGCCTGAAAACAATTTATGTATAGTACAAACACAGCAATTCATAACATGTAATAGTCTGCTCAGATCTGAGCTGAGGTGCTCGTGTTGTTGGTATGAGATGGTGTGACACAAGAATACTGCAGAGTACAGATGTTGAGTATTCATAACCAAGGTGGTAATGATATCAGAAGATCCAACATGGCAAACCCCTCAGATTTATTACATCATGGTTTTTGAATCAAGTTTTAGTTGTATACACAGAAACCTCTCACTACGGTCAGATCTTCTGAAATCTTCACATTCAGTTATGCAAACCCATGTGGGTCAGGGCCCACAGTGTAAGGACGCAGAATTCTAGGAAAATATAGCTCCTCCAGAAACCACTCATGCCAACAAGGCTGTCTGGAACACTTGGGGGGAGGCTGTCTTAGGGTTTTATTGCTGTGAAGATACACAATGACCACAGCAATTATTATAAGGAAACATTTAATTGGGGCTGACTTACATTTCTGAGGTTTACTTCATTATCATCATAGTGGGAAGCATGGTGGCACACCAGCAGACATGGTGCTGAAGAGGTGGCTGAGAGTTCTACATCTGGTTTTGCAGGCAGCAGAAGAGAGTGACACTGGGCCCAGTTCAAGCATCTGAAACCTCAAAGCCAACCCCCAGTGACACACACTTTCTCCAACAAGGCCACACTTTCTAACAGTACCACTCCCTATGGTGCCATCTGCATTCAAAGTACAGGCAGAAGGGGATGGGGAGACACTGAACTGAGGACCTTGAGCAGGCTGGGAAAATGCTTTCATGTCAGCACTAGACACCTGCCTTCTTCCAGGGCAGTTTTTGCATTTTCTCTCTATGAGAGACATCAGAAACGAACACTCCCAGTGCATACAGCACTCAGCAATTTTATGTTCTTAAGTTTGTTGTTGAGATAGGGTCTTACTATTTAGCTCTGGCTAGGTTCCTGGAACAGGGCAGAACAGAGGCTCAGAGAGACAGGGAACCTGGTTTAAGGTTACACGACAGTTAGTGAGGGAGCCACAGCCTTAAGCCAGTTGAGGCTTAGCTGCCTATCTCTTAACCACGAAGCTGAACATTCATTGTATGGCAAGCTCCTGTCAATGAAACTGAGAAGAGGCCTGGGAAGATGACTCGGTAAAATGGGTGTGATAACAGCCTTGAGTTTGGATTCCCAGAACTCAGGTGAAAGGCCAGTACTGGGGTGTCAGAGACAGGACCCTGGGACTTGCTGGTCAGCAAGTCTAGCCAAATTGGTGAGCTCAGGGTTAGTCAGAGACCCTGTCCTCAAAAGATAAGGTAGAGAGCAACTGAAGGAAGACACCTGAGCTCTACAGGTGGGCAGAATCTGCACACACACATACAGTTGGGAAAGAATATTGCAGGAGTTTTTTGAGGCTAGACTCAGACTAATGCTAAGATCAGAGATTTTATTATAAAAAATATAAACTTAGCAATGTTAGAATTAGATTCAATCTTTATCCCCTTGTGCAATAGGCAGACAGCCCTACAGGAGAGAGATATGGCAGGCTAACAATTCAACTCCCTTACTATGTGAGCTTGGTGCCCTCCCAGCTTCTCCTCTCCCCATGCATGGGATCTTTGTTAGTGGGCAGAAGATATGAGCTGGTCAGACCTGAGTTCCACATGACACTACCACCAGCCTGTGTGAGTTGGTCATAAGGCTATCTCTGCCCTTCATCATCAAGTGGGATAGTAAACACTGCCACCTTCTAGGCAGTAAAGAGTACAAGGGAAGCAGTGAGCAGCAATGCAGACACAGTGGACACCTAGACAATGCAGCACTGACGATGTATTAATATCATGTTGACTATTACAGTAAATTTTCTATTCCTGTTAGGATTAAGTAAAAGCAGAAATTTAGTGCTTAGTAAGAACAAATCAAGCTCAGACATTTGTTGAAAAAAAGTATTCGATTTTCTAATGAGACCCAAATATAACCTCTGAGATCACTGAGAAGCTTCCTAAACATGGAAGCTATGAACTTGGGGAATAAGGACAGTCTCCTGTAGCATCCCAGGAGGACCAGGACCAGAGGAGTCACAAAACTTCCCACAAGTTCGTCAGTTTGCAGATAGTCTCAAGTGAGTTCTCTTTCAAAAAGAAGACAGAGCCCCCGATGGGAAAAGAACATGCTTTAAATTTCATTGTTTAACATTTCCTCAGAAAACAAATTCTCTTTACTTATCCAGGTCACATAAAAGTTGCATGCCATTTCTTCCCCTACGTCCCACACACACTCACCTAACTGCACGTCAGTTGTGAACCGCAGTCTGTGAATCATGCTGACTTTGAATGACTTGTAATGGTGACTGCTAAGCATATCCTGTACTGTAGCGATGTCAATTTGTGAATCCTCCTCAAAAACTCCGTCTGCCCTTGAACCTAGGGAGGAAAAAACAGTTTAACACATAAAGATACATGAGGCTTGGCAAATGGTGTCTGCTTAAAATGCTTTGGGATAAATTAAAATAATACGGGCTATTTAATTTGGAGGAGAAAAGGCTGAGCGATGACTTAATAATGCCATTCCAGTAAACAGAGAATGCTAACGTATTAATCATTCAACAGTTAATTCCACAAACACTGCCTGTTCCAAGGCAGGCCCTTGGCTGGGCAGTGGGAGAAAAGAATGGCAGCATCCTGCTCATGCTCTTAGGCAGCGTGGTCTCCACAGAGCTGGTCAAAATCTGGGAGTGTGGTGATTATGGACATCACCCATGCTCCTTGAAGAACCCTGCCCCTTCCAAATCCCCAACCTGTCTGTCTGTTTAGCAGCCCTTGCCATGGTTGAGAGCTTCCCCTGCCTCAGGCAGGGGCCTCTCATGGGCCTTCGGACTGCTGGGCTGCCTCTATAATCTGGCCACAAGACCTTCTGGTTCATTTATCTAGAGGTCTGCTCACTCACTCACACCATGTGACAAAGACTGGTACTCTACAGAGTTCTCTGGATCCCAGGACCCTCCAATGAAGTCCTCTCTTTCACAGCCAGCAGTGAAAGCAGGCCAGCTTATTAAGCGACTGAACAGTTTTCCAGTCTCTTACCAGTCTTCACAATACCTATCTCAGATCCTCCCAACCGCTGCAGACTGCTTCTAGGTTCAAGGTTCCATCAGGCGAAGGCAAACCAATGCCAGTTCCCAGAGTCTGGGATGTACACTTCTGAAGCGCAGTTGCTGGGTCTTGTTCGTGGCCTACTCCTTCAGGTACCTCAGAACAGACAAAGTATTTCTCTTCCCCAGGCCAGCACAGACTTGACCACTTCCATGAAATCTGTTTTAGTGGCTCTGATACACATCTACAACAGCTGGTATATACTGGATCAGAGCTGAGCAGACCTGGTTCAACTCCCATCTCTACCTCTAATTTACTGTGTGATCTTAGGTGAGTGACTACCTTTGTGAATTTGTCTTTGACATTCATAGAACATAAAAATTTATCTAATACATAAAATGACTAACGGTATCCAGAGGGGCTCAGACTCAGCCCTGTCCTACAAGAGCTTGGTGGCTGCTTTGTCCTAATGTGGGAGTTTCACAAAGGCTAGGGAAGTTTCTTACTTATCTTTATGAGCACAGCACAGGCAAATGGTGTGCTCACACCAAACTTCTAAATAATGGGCAGTGCGTTACCCGTGTCAGTCATGATGTCAAGTACTTTATTCAGGTTAAACCTCATGACAACATGGAGGGTTCTGGAATTTTCCATCTTAAACAAATGGGAAGTTAAGTCATATCCCAAGGCCACACTAGATAAAGGCAAACCACACGCAAATGTCCAGAATTCCTTCTGACAGAGTTTGTGGGAGCAAAAGTACTAACTAGCTTTGGGTATCTTCACAGCCTGACAACTCCATGCTTTTCTTTGCCTACAGGTTGACTTTTTAAATAAGTCTGTTTCTTCTCCTTTTACACTGAACTCAGTTATTAGCAATTGTATGTTTTGTTTCCAAACACTATGGTCTTTCATATGAATAACACAGCCCTGTGTTAGGCTGTTCCCATGGGAAGGATGTGACACACCTTGGACACAGTCCTATCTTAGAGCATATTGCACATGTCATCATCCTCCATGCTCAGAGCACCCTGCTCCCTGTCCTTTCCACTCTCCTTCCTATTCCTTCCCAAAAGCCTGGTCAAATGAGGCTCCAAGAAGGGAGATTTTCCTGACTCCAAGCCCTCAAATCTAGTATGGCTCCTGACACTGCATCTGTATCTTCTACAGGCCAGAGACCACCAAGTCATTACCTATCTCTGCCTCCAGACTGTAAGTCACAGGAGGGCAGGCACAATGATTGCGATGTTCACCCCTGCAGCCAGTCCTCCCTGCTGTGTGCAGAAGGCAGGAGCCTAGTGCAAGTGCAGTGTGAGGCAGTGACTTAACCAGTATCCTACTGCAGGACAAACTAAGTGACATGCCCTTGGCAGGAGCCATCTGTGGACTGGTTTCATTCTTTGAAGCACCAGTGATCTGGGACAGATCATGGCCCTCAATGTCTCCTCGGAAATGTGACATCAGAATGAAAACTGGGAGGAAAGTTTAGCATAGTCTTTTACTTTGTCAAAACTACATCTTAATAGAAACATAACTGCCAAAAAGCATTCATTCTATCTTAGGATTTTTATACATGAAAATTAGAAAGAAAACATTCTTTATTTCTTAAATACTAAAGTCCAACTCAGCCTTTTTTACTGAGAACACCACATTAGATAGAGCTTAGCCCTGAGTTCTATAGCTTCTGGAACTGTAACTAATTGCTATTTTCTAAACATTGCAGGTATTTGATTTGGAAAGAGTAATAGCTCATTATGTTAAAATGCCAATTACTAAAATAAAACAACAACAACAAAACCCCATACTTAAGATTTTTACATTTTATGATGTTGGATTAAAACCAATTTAAAAATTACTACATGTGACATACAATTTTTTTTTACTGAGCAATTTCAATGTCAGTTGCTAATAAAGCATCGTAGCTGTAAATGATAATTCAGATGCTTTTAGATAAAGTGGTGCATAAATACGGCTGAAAATTGATTTAGTTTCTTGCAGAAGCTGCTGAAGAAGGACACATTCTGTTAAATACACCGGCTAATGTGTCCTAAAAGCTCAAACAAGTGCCAGTTTTCATGACTAACTTTACTGTGGGAGATTAATGAAAACTTTATATTTTGCTGAAATGTTAATAATGGGCAGATGAGACGATAGGATTTTAGTCAGGGTCTTAAGCTATGGAATAACTAGCAAGGCTTATCAATTTCCTTCTATTAATTTTAGGCTTTCATAGCTGGAGCTGGTTCAACACTAATGCTTCACACATTGACCTTCTACTCTCTGCCAGGGTAAATTCACATCCCATTGAGGACTTAGGTTTCTTGATGCTTGAGTGAGTTCTAAGTCATGGCCCTGACAGGGGCATACTGGGTGTTAAGATCAGGAAGGCACAGCATCAAGGGAACAGGGAAGGTGCTGTCCTGCATTCCCTCATGTTCTGACTGCTGAAACAGCAGCTCCGAGCCCCACTGACAGATTTCAGGTGGGCCCAGGAGGGCCACTGAGTGTTGGGTTTATCTGTGTGTACATGTGTCTGTCTCATTCATCCAGCAATGCAGAGTATGAGAAGTACCGGGAGAAAAGGCTCTCGATCCTCAGGAACTTAGGACCCAGCTACAGAACACAAAGAACAGAACAAGCAGACAAGCCCAGTGTATCAACAGCACCTGCAGTGGGTACTTTATCTCAGGTGAGCTACCTGAAGCAAAGCACTGGCTTAGCAGTGTGTTTGAGGGGCCAAAAAAATGCGTGTCTGTACCTTGGAGAAGGTGGAACCCAACCACACATGCAAGATACTTGGTATTATGTCATTTGCATACGGAAATCATTATTGTACTATCAACTTCACATTAAAACCCTACTTCTGTTCAAGATGACATTTTATCTTCTCAAAGATAAAAGTAGAGAGAACCAGAATGTCTTAAAAACAAACACACAAAAACCCTCCCCAAATCATTAATTTAATTGAAATATAACCCTTTGGTATTTTGTTAAATTAGCAATTAAAAAGGTCACAAGCAATTAAATAAGACAAAAGCCACACTGTGTTCATCTACATTAAAGCTGAACCAGATCTCCTCATGAGTGACAAGATAAATTATAATGGTGCCTTCAAAGACTTCACAGTATACTCTGTCAAAGTCAGGAGTGTTAATGTCTCTATGTGCTGTGCATTACCATAATGTATTGTGTCAAAACGCTCACGTTGCAGTAACTCAAGGCTGAATTTGACAGCTCACACTCTGGGGTGGGTCTCAGTAGTGACTTGAGTACCAGAGCACAGATGGACTGACAGTAAGGCTCTGAAAGAGTGCACCTAGGAAAGGTCTGGGTACAACATAGAATCTTAGAGGAAGCAGCCTAATTCCCTGGAAGAAAATCAGGAGGTCCACAAAATGGAGTCTGGTCCCTGACTCAGGGGAAGAAAGGCCAAAAAGGCTGGGGTGAGAAACACAAAGGGAAGCAGAGGAGGCAATAACGAAACCAAGGCCAAGACGACCCTAGTTCCTACAGTAAAGAAGAAAGAGTGGCTGCTGTGAAGACAGACCATGGATATAAAGCTAGATGTACATTAACACCCTAGCTTTTGGCCACTCACTATAGATTTACAACACGTGTGATAGGATCACCAGGCACTGGAGTCTGTGTGTTTCTTTGCCATTTTCATTCTTCCCCTCCTCTCAGGCTGTGCTAAAAGCTGTTCCTACATCTATTTGCATGCCCACTCCCTTGGCCCCAGGACAAGAAAATGTGGCTTGAACAGTGAACTCAAACTCAGAGATCCTCAAAGTGCAGGTCTGGGCCAGTGGTGGGCACATTTACCTCCAAGCTCCTTTCAGGCCCCAAGGTCCTATACTGTTTTCATAGTAACAGTAAAACATCTTTTGCCTTTTACCCTTATTCCCTTACAAGTGCGCGTCGTAATAAGGAGTTCTGATTTCACGTTGCAATTAACCTTTAGGAAACTATCACTTGAATTTTGATATAAATGAAAATTAATACCAACAATTATGTGAAAAGGGTACGGAAATTCTCTCCTCTGTTTCAATAATGTATCTGTGTCAAGACAAATTTTCTTCCTATACTACAACCCAAACATGTATTGTAACGAAATGAGTACAGAAGCAGATATGAAGACCTAGAATATTCTATTAGCCAGACAGAAATGTGCAAAAACATACAACAGGACTGAGCTCCAGCTCAGGTGGCAGAACATTTGTCTAGCATGTGCAAGGCCCTGGGCACACAAAAACCAGGACACCCCAGCACTGTACACACCAGGCATGGAAGTACACACCCGAAATCCTAGTGCACGGAGGTCAAGCTCAATA